TTCTATTCTATTCTATTCTATTCTATTCTATTCTATTCCATTCCACTTCGTTTCATATTTTCTATTCTATTCTATTCTATTCTATTCTATTCTAATTCTATTCTATTCCATTCCATCCCACCTCACCCCACCCCACCCCACCCCACCCCAACTGTAGCCATTTTAAGATCTGTGGACTTCAATTTCCAGGATACGCCACCAAGCAAAAAAACGATTGAAGATGTGGGAGTGTAATAGATGAGTTCAAAAGGTGGCCAGGATTTCCTTGGAAGAGAGATATAAGAGAATAACAAGAGTTGGAGGATTTCTAGTCCAACCCTCTGCTGAGGCAGGAAACCCCAAACCATTTCAGACAAATGGTTGTCCAATCTCTTCTGAAAAACCTCCAGCATTGGATAAAAATGTATAAAGGTTAAATTTTATAATGGAGGACAATTTATTGTGAAAAGAAATGCTGCACATCAAAGAGATAAGCCTGACTTTGGTCACCAAATTGCAGCAATGCAGTTTTGAGGTGTTTATCAGGAGACACGGAAAGTGTTGAGGGGTATATGTTGCTAAGAGATGCAGATGTTCGCCCTTAATATCTATGTAGAGTTAGAAATTCTATTCAGAATCATGGAAGATTATTTGGGAATTCATCCTCTATCATGTTCTCTTGATAATATATAACAGTGGTGGCTAACCTTTTTGGGCTTCTGTGCCAAAAATTGTGCGTGCGCTTACACACTCACGTGCCAGCACCCAGAAGGCAATGCGCACCCCCCCATGCCCCCTACGCATGTGTGTGCAATCCCTCCACCACCCCTTTACCTACAGCTGATTTTGGGTGGGTTTGAGGCCTTTTTTGGCCTCCCAAAGGCTTGAGGAAGGCTTCTGCAGGCTTCTGCAGGCCGAAACCTAGCCCCATTTCGTCACTTCTGGTATTTTCGGAAAAACAGGAAGTGATGAAACGGGGCTAGTTTTCAGCCTGTAAATCTTGCAGGCCTCCCAAATCTTTGGGAGGCTGAAAAAGGCCTCAAACCCACCTAATATCAGCTGTGAGACGCACACATGCGCAATGAGGTAAGTTTGCCTGCAGCTCGTATGCCGGCACAAATGGCACGTGTGCCATAAGTTCACCATCACGGATATATAATAAATAATACGATCATTATACTCACTGTTATACTCTTCCTGTTGTACACATTTTTCTTAATCTTCTAGTTTCTGTTTTAGGACACCTCTCGGTATGACAGCTTTGTTCATTTCTTGCAGAGGTGTTATTTCTCTGCCTATTGCAGCTCTAGAACTGCTTGCCTTAGCAATACGTTATTTAGGAATGCTTTGGGGTTCAGTCATATAGCTCCACTGTGGATACACCTGCTTGGAAATGCTATCCCACAACCCATGTCTTTTTCCTTATGATTTCCAGGATTGGAAGATGGAGCCACAGATAACAACGGGTGCAGAGGGAGTCAGAGAGCAAGCAAAGCCCCAGGGCTTCCTCTGCCATCTTGGAAGTAGCCACAAGAAGATATTGGTAATAGTATGTGGCAAAGACCTTGGGAGATGGAGGAAAAGCCACAGCCATGGCATTGTCAGATAAGCGGCAACCTTTGTGATCTCCATGTTTCTTTCACTCTACATATAGAAAAGATAGTTGTCAGCCTGAGCCACATTTATCACTAAGCATAATGGAGTTGTTTATGTCGTGAAACTAATTGTGTGAGTCCACCTATTTTGGCTTAGTTGGTCAGAACTCCCAAGGAGTTGGCAGTCAGTTGCAAATTTTTTGCCCTTAAAGGTGGGTGGGCCTGTCCAAGCAAAATGGAAATGCTGTCCAATTGTGCTCCTGTTTTGACTGGGCAAACTTGTAGAGGGCTTAAGTACAGGTAAAACAACAAGCCAAGACTGAAAGAACTTGAAACAGTCTTCCGCTCAGGACTTGTGGAGCCAAAGTGGAAGTACTATCAAAATTCATTCTGGCTTTGCCAGTGGGCTGGCAACATCTAAGTAGGGAGTGAAGCACAAGCACATTTTAACAAATAGCTACACCCATCAATCTAGTCATTTCTCAAAGACACCAATCACCATTTGTTATTAATGACTTATGTAATTATTATTATTAGGCATACCAATTCATTAATGTAGGGGAGTGCAATATTTCAGAATCCTAGTTTAGAGTTATACATAGGCCAGACTCTTCAACCATGGCTTAAACTCTCTGGATTTTGAAAGAAGAATAAATCAAACTGCAGACTGATTTGAGAGCATGGTGCTAGCATTTTCTCATCAATTGGTCTATCTCATCAGTTGATCTATCCATCTGATCCTGAGCCTCAGTTAAGAAGAAAGAACATAACGGAAATTCTTTGCTTACCTTAGGCTTCATGGTGTCTATTAAAATATCAGATTAAAATGACAGGTAAAAGAATCCCTCAACAAGTTTTCCATATTTATTTTATATGTGTGCAAGCAGTGAGCATTGTCAAGCAGAGTTATTGTAGAAAGCAAACCATACAGAAGCTCAGGATAAACCAAACAATGATGGAAATGGTGAATCCTGCTGGGAAACCTTCTCAAAATCTGGAATGGGGCAACTCACTACAGCCAATTCACCATGGCCAACTCTCTGCAGCCAACTCGCTGCGGGACAATCCAACAAACATGAAAGTTAAACTAATTTCAACGGAACCGTGGCCAATAGCAATAGCACTTAAGACTTATATATGCATTATAGTGCTTTACAGCACTCTCTGAGTGGTTTACTGAGTCAGCATATTGCCCCCAACAATCTGGGTTCTCATTTTACTGATCTTGGAAGGATGGAAGGTTGAGTCAACTTTGAGCCTGGCGAGGATCAAACACCTGCCAGTCAGCAGAATTAGCCTGCAATACTGCATTCTAACCACTGTGCCATCAGGGCTCCAATGATAACAAAATAAAGAAAGTCAATCCAGAAATACAAGAGTTACAATAATTTCAACAAAAGCATGGTCACCAATAATTTAAAAAAATGAATGACAATTAATACT